GCCAATGTTCTACCTGTTTTCCTACTTGCTTCCCTCCTTCAACTAGCTGACATTCTTAAACACCAAATAATTGCAAAATCAATAACAGTCATAACTTAATGAATGGCCCATTTCAGTGATCTGAGCACCATCCAATTTGGTCTCTCTAATAAACACTGAAGGTAATTTCCCTTTCATGGGAATAAATCCAATATTTTTGACTTAAAAACAAGTAATGGCACTCAAAGGTGGTCTTGAATAACTAAATGGATAACATTCTCTGTGATCAATGATTTGACACCAGTTTTTTTCTGCAATTATTCATTTAATAAGTCACTAGCAGGTAGAGCATGAAAAAATATTCTGTGCTAATTGAAACAATTAACAGATCACACTGCCTAAGGCAATCACCTAGTCCCTGGCAATCATTCCACTTATCACAGACACAGAATTAATGCCAATGGGAGTGCTGCATTGGGAGAGAGTGTGAAAGTAATACATTCCCATTTACAAAAATAAGAGGCAGTCTAGCCAGCAACAGTGTATTAAATTTATTCTTTATCAAAGTTAAGTCTAAAATTATTTATACCCTTGGCAGATTTAGATTTACAATTTAATTTATTATTCCAAAAAGACAGGCATCTCTCAAACAGTAATGTAACAATGTGAAAATAGTATTATATGTATTTAATACATTTGACTTTTGTAAGGATTTTCAAAAACAGAACATTGTCACAGTTTTCTCAGTGTTTTAATCAGCTGGTTGAAAAAATAGGTTTCTGTAACGATCAACACGATTGTCATTAATGGTCCTGAATGTTCGATCACTCTCGTTGACAGTTCATAGAGTTTATTTAAAGCGGTGGTTGCATCTAGCTTTTAAACATGATTAACACATTTTCAATATGCACAATGTCAAAAAGTTTCAGAATCCTAATTCTAACCTGAGTTATCCACTCCAGCAAAGCTTTTAATGAAGGTGTGTTGTTATTTTCCTATTGAGATATCAAGTCTGGCAAACAGTGGTGTTGGATGTAGGAGTTTGCCCTGAAATCGAAGGATTGACGGTTCAAGCCCCGACTCCGACTTTCAGTGTCGTTGTGTCCTTGGGCAAGACACTTCACCTGCATTGTCTACTGATGGTGGTCAGAGGGCCCAGTGGCGCCAGTGTACGGCAGCCCCACTTCTGTCAGTGAGCCCCAGGGCAGCTGTGGCTACAATGTAGCTTGCTACCATCAGTGTGTGAGTGTGTGTGTGAATTGGTGAATGAATGTAGTGTAAAGCGCTTTGGTCAAGTCTCCTGACTTGAATAAAGGCACTATATAAATATATGCCATTTACCATAAATATACCGATGAAAGTTTCATGACATTAATCAAAATGTAATTATTTTGTATAAAGTCACAAAATAATTTTTTGAATGAGTTAATAGTCCAACTCTAACAGCTGTCAAGTACAGTTTGTGGGTTAAAGAACCATGTTTTGTTTTATTCCCAGTGTTACTCAAAGTACCAACACAAAATCTGTAAAATAATGAAACGGGAGGACAATGGCAAAATTCTCCAACCTCACCTTAAATCACAATCTACAAAGCAGAAACAAAGACACATTTGGGTGTTCTGTGGAAAAATAAATATCGTAAATACACATCAAATTACACTTAGTTTTGAAATGGTCAAACAGGAAAATATTTACCCTTTGGTATAGCTTTAAACAAATTCATGTTCAAACCTTATGAACTACACTTAGAAGTCTAAAAAATAGAATTTAAACGTATTTTCTGTCTGTAAAGAGTGGTCAAATAAGTAAGTGTACCATTCCAATGGTGAATTGGAACAGAAAGTGCAACTTTGTATTAACGTTTTGTAAAGGAGTCGGATGTTAATGTCTCAACAGAACTGTAAATCTGTCTGCATATTGTTACAATTTGATCATTTTGTTGACTGAAAAATTGACTTATGCTATGCTCTTTAACTGCATTTGCAAAGTCAATGAATTCTATTTAAAGAATCAGGGTTCAATTATTTCTCAAGTTAAAAAATGAATCATTGCCAGAGAAGCAGCAGCTGGGAAGCTGATAGGTATTCTGCTTTTCTGTCAGCTTTTATCTTTCTTTAATGAAGCTTTACTGTGCATCTGCACATAGCTGCTGTAAAGAAAGCAAAAGAGGTTGATTTATTTCTATCCTTGTCATTTTTAGAAGACACAATTATTATTGTTTGGTCAAAAGGCTACTCAGCCCTGTGAACCCAGGCCTGTTGCCTCACGAAGCCTTCTGTAAGGCTTTACTGTGAAGAGTAAGTGGTTGCCTCTGCCCATCTCTCTACTCTGTGATCCTCTGCTTGATTCATCACTCAATCCGTCGATGCAGCAAGTCTTGGCTCAGGATCAGAAGTGTTTGATGCCAAGGGCAGACGTGTGTGTATGTGTGTGCGTTTCTTCTTGCTGCTTGTGTAAGTCTGTTGGTGTGAAGGTTGTAGCAGGTGAAATGCAAGGTCCAGCAGAGTTAAATCTGACATACATGTGAAATGCAATGTGTGAATGCAGCTGTAAGCTGCTTTATGCATCTACAGCCGCAGCATGCAGCCTTAGATGAAGCTGTGTAGCACAAGAGCTGATACAGTCTGTGTATGAAGATGAAAGATAATGAGATGCCTGAGTCCACAGATAGTCACTAATGGATGTTCAAGGCAGAGAATCAGAGGCTTTCTGAGGCTGAGAGACACTGGCTTTGGGTGATAGTAGCAATGCAGGATAACCCTACCAAGCAGTATAAAGGATATTTGTGTTTGATATTCAAGGAGGAAAGTCTTTGTTTAATTTATTGCCTCACTCACAAAAAAATATCAATCAGACCTTTTCTCCCCTGGGAGACCTGTTTCAATTATCTTCATCGCCTTTACATTTACCTTTGGAGTCTCACTGTGAAGGCAATATCCGGTAATCTGTTTCTACATTTAGAACATAGTCTGTCACCTGTTTCTGATTCCTATTAAATCTTCCAGTACTTCATTTTTGGCAAATCAGCCTTCTAGAACTGAACAGATTATTATTGAATGATGATCAAGCTGTGACATTAGACGCTTCCTTTTTTTGTTCAGGTGATTGCCATTTGACAGAGTGGTCTACTTGGAGCTCCTGCCAGCTGACCTGCCTGGAGGGCCGCAGCTTTGAGCCCACTGGCCGTCAAGCGCGTTCTCGAGCTGTTATCGTTCAGGCAATGGAGAACCAAGGCAGCTGCCCACAGCAGATCTTTGAGACCCAGCCTTGTAAAGGTCTGAAAGAGGATGTTTTTACACTTATACTTCACCCTAAAAACCTAATTTCAATCAAAATGTGATTGAATACCTTCCCTTAAAAAAACATACTTCAAAGAATTTGGACAGACTAAGAAATAATACACATATATTGTAAGCCTACATGATGGAATCATTTCTACACCCTGTTCTTGCTTATTATTTTTTAAAGAGTATCCATTTTTAATATTCAAACAGTCACAAAGTACTTGGCACCTACCCCAATACTGCAGAATTAAATTCTTTGTCACACAGACTACTCAGCGATACACATGGGCAAGCTAATGGCCTAAGCTTGTATGTGTTGCTATCAGTTTGTGTTTCTTCCAGAAAGCCCTCTTTATTCTCACTCTCAGACACTTGTTATTTAATACAAAAAAGCTTCACTGCAACTGGTTACCACAGAAAAGGGGACAGGATGATGGGCTTGGTTTCAACTGTGCCTGTTGCCAAAATACCCTTCTGGTTCCAGAAGAATTTACAGATTTAGAGAGCTTCAATGTAGGGCTTCAATGATTTTTGTGGCTGATTTCTATATCCTTGTTTTTTTTTTTTTATTTGAACCACTAATACCAAGTTCATAACCTGGCATAAGCCAGATTAATACCATGTAGATATCAAATTGAAAAACACGTATTGATCTGGAAAGCCTCATGTAGAAAATGTTCACAAAACAGGGGGGACATTCAGTACATTTCTTTGAGGTGATTGGGGATCTGCCGCCCATGTAGAGGTTTTTAGCCAATCACAGCAGCAGTAGCAGCTTGATTAGTTTCCCAACTAGGGGAGTCAACTGATAAATCAAACTCTTTGTAAATCCGGTCAGAGGGAACAAGCAAATATTTCCCTATAGACAAAGACAATAAAATGACATGCTTTTGCTCACTTTTCAAAAAGAAATAGATGGTATACCAGCTTAAACCAGCACAGCAGTGCTTTTTTTACTTCAGCCTCGTGGCTCTTGTTGAGACATCGAGGTCATACACATCTCTGCGTTTCATTTGCACAAAGCATTTGTCTTTTAAATGTTTTAAAAAGTTACAGAAGAAAAACTTCTTCTGTCTCTGCTCTTGCCCTGACTTAATTTTGTTGATGACCAACATCACTGAAACTTAAATTAGCTCCATTTTTTATTATTCATTAACTGTGTAGACTCTTAATAATGTTCTTGTCAGCATGACTTGGAAGCACTTAGAAGTGACACATTTGCGGATAAGAAAAAGAATAGACCTTTAAGTTTCTGTCTTGAGTCAGAGGCAATCAGGCTAGAAATCGCACCTTTCTAGTCACCAATCAATTTGTCAGATCATCTTTAAATTAATTTGTCTCCTAGCTGCTTGGTTTTAGGTTTCCTATTATATAAGGCCCTCAACCTGTCTACCTAAAATTAGGGAACTTTAGGATATGTAATTTCAGTTCATTTATAGTTCTCTTTTTGTGCTATTACTTTATACTTTTTTAGACCTACCCACTACCGTTCCTTGTTTTTTTCTCTTTAACCATATGTTTACGAATTAAATTTGCAGTTAAGTTTTAGTACATTTGTTTTAAAATTGCACTTACCGGTGTATACATATGTATAGTTTCTATTCTGTACTTTCTGTGGTGTTACTTTTGATTCTTTTTGTTCATTTTTCCAAATTACCGCTTTGTGTGGCTGTACTTTTTTCTCTCCCACGAATCAGTTTCCATCTGTCTTTGCTTCTCTCTTCAAATCAACCTTTCTATAAAATTCACTTCTGGAAAATAAGAGCTTTGATTGCAAAAAAGAGGCCCATTTCATACATTTCCAGCCAATTTTACCTAATTTTATCCGAGCTTGCCATTGTCTCGCATGCTGTCTCAATTGAATAATTTACATTTTTTTCTTTCCTTTTACCTGTCTTTGCAATCATTACATGTCTTATCTTTATAATGCAAAGGTGCAGGTCTAAAAGAAATTGAGGTTACCATCTATAGGAGCTTGAGGAAAGGTGTGGACCCCCAAAATAAACTGCTAATGAGTTTTTCATTTGTCTCTGCAGGAGGAAAATGCCACAGTTACCAGTGGAAAATAGGAGGATGGACCAACAACAAGAGGGCAGTGTGGTGTCAGCGCTCAGATGGTGTTAACGTGACAGGTAAAAAGTTACAGTATCTAGGCTGCTCATAGATAGGTTGAACCAAACACCCCCAGGGACATAGTGACACTTCCATGATTTCTCAACAAATCAGGCAACATAAAGTGAGCTGTTCCTGTTCCCTTACAGTAAAAAGGCTGAACCCCTTTTCATTTTAGTTTGCTTCATATCAATGTTTGCAGAATTATTGAATAAGTCTATAGCTCCAAAATTATTTATGCAGCTCAGACATTATGTGAATCTTCTTTCATTCTTCTCTAAAATCTGTCACACTGCAGATTTTTTTAAGCAGCTGAAGCAGGTGGTTTAGATTTACATTTAGAGGAAAATGGTGCCTTATTGGATCAAGAGATAAAAGGAAATGCAAAGATTTGACATTGTAAAATTGCAAAAGTATCTTCTTTAGACTTTGCAATAGTATTAAACTGTCAGTGGGCTGTGTTGCTACAGATAAGATCTTTACCAGATATAACAAAACTTAGATAAGATTGAAACTTTCCGTGCAGCATAAGGATTTTGCAATCTGTCGGTCACAAATTTAGACAAGCATGAAGGCACAGCTGAGAAGTCAAGTTGCACTTAAATTGTAAAAAAGAAAAGACTTCAGACTGTACTTTATACTCAAGCTGAAGTCTAGGACTCAAGTCTTGCATAAATTCCTATCTCGTGCTATCAGGAGACAAACTAGGTCAGGATATTTGGTTCATTTGAGTAAATGATTGTTTTCTAATGACAGTAGTGCATCTAAACTAACTGCCTTCAAAGGCGGGTGATTTTTTTTAATCGTTGCATGCAGCTACAGCTTACACTTTACGACGAAACCGCAGGGTTTGACACAGTTCACAAACTGTGTACAATAATCCTGTACCTGGCCCCATTCGTCTTTCCTTCAATTGCAACCAATAATCCTGTCCCTGCAGCTGAAAAACACCCCCATGGCAGGATGCTGCCACAACCATGTTTCACTGTTGGGATTGTATTGGGCAGGTGATGAGCAGTGCCTGGTTTTCTCCACAAAAATCACTTAGGATTAGCACCAAAAAATTCAACGTTTGTCTCATCAGACAAAAGAATCTTCTTTCTCATGGTCTGGGAGTTCTTTGTGTGTTTTTTGGCAAACTCTATGCAGGCTTCCAAATGTCTTGCACTGAGTCTTCCGTCGGGCCAATCTACCATAAATCCCCGACTGGTGGAGGGCTGGAGTGATAGTTGACTTTGTGGAACTTTCTCAGATCTCCCTACTGCATCTCTAGAGCTCAGTCACAGTGGTGTTTTGGATTCTTCTTTACCTCTCTCAGCAAGGCTCTTCTCCCACTATTGCTCAGTTGGCTGGACGGAAAAAGAGTTCTGGTCATCCCAAACTCCTTCCATTTAAGGATTATGGAGGCCACTGTGCTCTTAGGAACATCAGGAACTCCTTTTAGTAGAGAGAATATTTTCTGGCTTCTTCCAATAAAGGAAGTAGCAAAGCTGCCCCACATTATCATAATACCAAACAGTTTTATTTATACCTAATACATATGATCAGTCCAGTTTTTTTTCTGAAGTCTTTAGGATTATCTATATATTTATTTTTAGATTTTCTTCATTTTATTTTTTTATTTTCTTGTTCTGACATCTGAGGTGATTTAGGTAGGTGTGTGTAGAACTGTTTTCTCCTAAATAACTGGACTTTAATTTACTCACATGATCTTTTTCCCGAAGCTAAAGTTTATGATTGAATATTAAAAAGGGAACAAATGAGGAAGCACTGTACCTGTAAGTAAGCTAGTAATTTTTGCAAAGATCTGTACTGGAAAATGTTTTCTTTTCTCTAACATATTGCATATTTATATTATCATTGGGGTGGCTATCATGCTTTAATCTTTAAAAAAAAAAAATGACAGCCAACTATAACAGCATATGTATTTTTGTTTGGAAAAGAAAAAAATCTAATGTGTAAAACTCAAATGAAAGCTTGTAATTTTAACACATTACTTTTATTAATCAGTATTTTATGCACACATTACATCGTACATCAAATGTGAAGGACTTGACTTGAGACTTGACTTGTCTCTGATTTAGCCAAACTGATTTCTAAATATCATTGCATCAAGACACACTCACCCGGAATAGTTTCAGTGAAGTGTTCTGGCAAGACTAAACACCTCTTTTGATCTTCCTATTTTCATACAAGGGTCTATTGATTGACTTTTTCCCCTTTTTTAACAAAAGTAATCAATAAACCAAGCTGAACCCGGGGGCTTTCAGTCCATATAAATATAATCATCCATTTGTATTTATAGTAACTAAACCAGCTTAAGAGAAATAGAACAAAACTACGGCTGTTGTGGGAATATAAATGCTTTGGGCAGGCTTGAGATGCTGTAAATAGTGGGCGGATGTGATCTTATCATTCTAAGGAAGTGTTTCTGGCAAATATGAATCCAGAAGGAAAGGAGGAAAAAAAAAAAAAAGAGCTTTGGCAGAAAACCCAAAAGCCCAAGGCATTACTCTTTGATATTTTGACATGCAATTTTCTGTGTTGGAATTAAAATGTTCACAATTGATCAGGGACCCTGATAGACACCTGGACCCATTAATCAGCTGTGACAGAACATTAATTTACCGATCAATGTGTAAAGGAATAAAGGTAAGACTGTTTTCTCTTCTCAGGGGGGTGTTTCCCACAAAAAAGGCCCACTACCATTCGACACTGCCATCCTCCGTGCACAAAGCCCTTCTCACACTGCACACCGGTAAGATTATCAGGCTGTGCGGAGATATTTGTGTTTTCTGCTCCCCTTCTAGGTGGGACACTCCATGGATCTTGATAAATCACATTTTTAATTTTCTACAACAGGCCGTTATAAACTAATCAGATTAACATCACTGCATGTGTCAGTTAAGGAGTACACCTGTGTGGTTATTTGGAGTGGAAATGTGGGGGTGGGGAGTAAAAATGAATGCCCACAGCTTGGTGCTATACTGCCCCTAAGAGTATCTTCATGCAACTACACAGGGGGTCTCCTAAAATGTCAATTAACAATTTGAGCACTTCTATGTGAAGAGTTAATGATTTTCTGTTCCTGGCACCATTTCATACAGAGTGGAGTGTGTGGGTGTGAGAAGGGCTACACTGAAGTGATGACTTCACACGGCTTCTTGGACTACTGTACCAGAACCCCAGGGGTGGACAACAGCAAAAAAGCCGATGTGAAAACTAACTCTGGAAGATTAAAACCCCGACCGTCTCAAGCCAACAACCTGTTCAGCGAGTGGACCTTAAGGCCTGTTGGCCCAGGTACTGAAATAGAAATCCTCTCTAAGCAGCTTGTTTGACATTGCTTCTGCTTCTGAAAATAACTTTGTTCCTGTAAAATCAATGAGATAAATGGACAACAGAAAGAATTTCTTCTCTCTCCGTTAATGTCTCTCTAGTTCTTGTTAGCTCTAAGGTAAACCACAGCAGACTTGCCTTTTGATCAAATTTTCCTCCTAAATATTGCATTCTGAAAGTAGTATCTTTTTTAAATTTTGTCACCACAAAAATCTGTGTATTTCAGTGGTACTTTCTCTAATGTATTAACATCTATAGCAAAATGGAAATTGGGAAATGAAAACACACTTCAGGACACTTGGCATTTGCATTTATGCCTCTTTACTTTGGTACCACTAATTAAAATCTGCAGCAATTATTCCCCCACAGGTAAAAACTGAATAGTAGTAGTACAGCTGAATTTAGAAGTAACTGAATTACAATTGTATACAGGTTACCTGAGGCTGGTCTAGTTTCAGTACAAAAACATGTCCACTGAAAAGTTTTCAGAGGTTTGGTTGGGAAAAAAAAAACAAAAAACAGGAGTAAACAAACAGCTTTATGAAGGCCAGAAAACAAATTGTAAAAAAAAAAATGGTTGATGTTGTAGAATACAATCTATATTCCAAGCTTTAAACATCTCATGAAGGCTGTTTAATTCATCACCTGAAGATGAGAATTAGAAGCTGGAATCTAGACAGACAAACCAAGGAGGTTATTAACCAAAGCTGCAAAGACCTTGAGTCTTCGCAGACCTTGTTGTTTGCTGACAACTATTCATCATTTTTTGTGTAAAGCTGGCTTTTTATCCATGAGTGACTAAGAAGTACATTTTAGGAATAAAACATTTTAAAGTTTCATTTAAAATGTATTGCTAGTTTCAAAATCAAGACAGCCAACATGGAAGAAGGACCATTAGATCACCATCATTGTTCGGGTCTAAAAGCTAAATGCTGTCTGGTAAAAAACTAACAATACACATTACCTTGAAAACACTTTTCCAATGGCAGTATATGATGTTGGCAACGTCATACTGTGAAAATGTATATCTAAAATAAAATAAAAAAGACAAGAAGCTAAAGGGAAGATGGTTGGAGTTCAATACATGGCAATCCTGGAATAGAATCTGCAGAAGACTTAAAAGTTAACCAGAGTTTCACCTTTTGTCCCTAGAAATAAAGTGCAATGATTTAGATCAGATCATATTCACTTCAAAATATTGATACAGAGTGCTAAATACAAATAAACTCTCTCAAATTTCATGAATTTAATTTATGATGTCACACAAAATTCTGATAAAATATGTCAAAAATAGTGTTTGTAAATTGGTAAAATATGAAAAGGTTGAAATGAGGTGAAAACTTTGATAAGGCACTTTGATCACAGTATATATTTTCATACCAATATGTATGTAAAGATTTAAAAGAACGTTTAAACAATCTTCCTGTCCCGTTATTTAAAACTTTGTCTTTGGTTGCACAGATGGGAGAGTGAAGCTGTGGGTTTACGCTGTAACCGTCGTTGGATTCATTGTCATACTTTTCATCATTACGGTGTCATTCTTGATCTGGTATGTGCTTTTCTACTGTCTTCAAAAAAATCCATAACATATGATTATTGAAGCAGAAGCATTATTGTAGGTCATACATACTTGCTATGAGAGCAGCATAAACATTGACAGGCATAGGGACATTTATTTTCTCCAACACACTGCTGTCAAGTATGAGTTATACTCGTCCACGCTACTTCGTCTGTTGTGAGCCCCTGTTATCAGTTAATGGAATTCTTCTTAAAGACTAAAATCTAGTTGGCCTGCCTTTTGGTACACCAAGCAACATCCATTTTGAGATTTCTCCATCTCTTCTCTCTCTGTTTTTTAGTAAGCCATCCAAAACCTCTAAGGCATCTCCTCCACCACAGAAGCCCTTGACTCTTGCCTATGATGGCGACGTGGATATGTAACCAGGCTGCTATACCTCACGAGGACATGTTTGGCCTTGGGCCGGATTTTGGCCTTGTTCACATCGTTGCCCAGGATATGCCCTGACCTGCTTTAGCAGGGTTATGTTTGAGATAATAGAACTATTGGGTTTGCTGCTGAAGGCGCAGAATATTGGCAGACTCATACAAGCAGAGCATAAGCCAAGTGAGCCGAGACTGAGACATGGGCCTCTAGTTCCTTTTTTTCTATGACTGCCTGCTACATGAACACAGGGTGCAAGCACCACTTGCAAACGATGAAGCAAGACTTTTAGGCACTAAAGACAAAATCAATCCACAAGTCTTTTGTGGAATGTTTTGGGTGTCAAGAATTATAGGGACCACAATTCTGTTTTTTTTCTTCTTTAGTTTTGGAGATTCTGTAGTCATATTTTAATTTTTCTCAATAGATGCTGAACTGTTTGAAAGGCCCGAGCTCTTTGAATAAACTCTTATTCCTTATTTCCAAACAAATAAGATGGTTTATGCACTACGTTAGTGCTGAGTCATTTTTATTTTATTTTGACAACTTTTCTAGTGTTTTAACTGTACTTCGTTTCATTTTTTTTAATTATTTTTCTGTCCAATTGTGTATTGTTGATGATGCAATATGTTGTGTATACATGGAAACCAAAATCAAGCCTGCCTCGAGTTGAAGGACAAGTGTGATGTGGCTATTTCTCTGTCCTCGTGTGACTAACAGCTACAGAAAACACAGCTCAACAACAAGTTCAAAATGTCATTGTTATTGAAGCGCACACCATTTTGATGCATTCAGTTTAAGAACAAAATAATCAAAACACATGCAACTGTAAAGATTGGAAACCAGCATGATTGAGATCATACCTCATACCTCAATATGATGCAAAACAAAACTTCACTTACCATTCTAATATTATGGAGGATCATAAGATATTGGCTGGGTTGCTCCTTGTATCAGCACTGATCAGACATAACATTATGACCACAGACAGGTAAAGTAAACAGATCATTTCCTTATCATGGCAAATCTAAGTAGGATACATAAGGGTATAAGTGAGTATGATGACCTCAATGTTTATGTGTAAGAAGCTTGAAAACATGGCAAATGTTACATTTGAGTGCATTTGACAAGGGCAAAGTTGTGATAGTTAGTAAAATGGGTCAAAGCAACTGCAGAATTGCATCTATATATCAAAAGCTGTCCACAGCAAGGAAGGGTGGTGAACTTATGACAATCCCAATGATGCACATAAGACAGCAGAAGACTGGCCAGTGTAGTTTAATACAACAGAGGAGCTACTGAGGGTAAAATTGCTGAATGGTTGAGTTTCTGTTTATTGTCATTTTAATCCCCCATTGGGCCACTTGTCTTTTCTAGACAACAGATTATGACTGACCATCACCAAAAAAGAAAACTGCAAACATTGAAATATAAATAAGTAATTTTTACTTAAACTAAGTGCGTTTTTTCATGAATTGAGGAGGTGAGACACTTTGCTAATAGAGATAGACAATTTACATTTAAAAATAACAAAAACAACTGCATTGTCTTATTTCAAGTGCATATTATCTAATTATATTATTTTAAGAATAAATATACTCATTCAACTGGCAAATCATCTTATTTACCTGCTCACATTAAAGGTAAATAGACTTAATTTAAGAATTGTTGTCTTATTTCTAGATCGTTTTTGCAGTAACATGAGTATGAGTAACCTTCTACTAGTGGAGATTATTACTGGAGTCACATATACACCGTTCCTTACAGTAAAGATAAATTGATTATGCTTAAATAACATTCAATCATCCTTTGTCAAAGCGGGAACAAAGCGTCCAACGTATCTGAAAGCTAAACTGTGAAAATACAGGAAAGCGAATGTCCTACATTTACTAGAACTTCGCTAAAATGTGAAAATCAGAGCTGGATAACAGAGCGATTGAAAGGAAGATGGTCTGGTTTGATGAATCTCTGTATCAAGTGGACTGCAAGTTTAATGTGGTTTGCTTTCCTGGAGAACTCGTCACCTGTATGTATTATGGAACAAAGGAGAGGTAGCAAAGGCACTTTGTTGCTTAGTGTAGTTTTCTGTAGAAGAATTGCTTTTACAGTGCAAAAAATTTTAATCTAAGTTATTTTTTTCCTAAAATAAGTGCAGTTATTTTTTATTGAGGTGTGTCTCACTTACCTCCTCTTAAAACACTTACAATTTACATTTAAAATAAAATAACTTCAGTCTCTTATTTGAATTGCATAACATCTAGTCATCTTATTTTAACGGTAGAAATACTCACTCCATTACACTTATATACACCAATATATAAGTTGTTTTAATTGTTATTTTTTTAATTTTTTATTCGGTTTTAGATTTTTTTTTGCAGTGTTACAGATGTATTTTCAACACATTCCACCTAAGTTAGCATTTCTGCGGACCATGCACAACATTTTTTTGAAATAGAGTAGCTTGATGGTTGTGGCATCTTTCATCTTAATGCACACTGACATAGAACAAAATGACAACCACAGGTTTTAGGTGTTGTTTTTGCTACTAAATCACCAGATCTCAATCCAATTCAGCATGTGTGGAATGTGCTGCAAAAATAAGTCCAATCCATTGAACCTTTACCTTGAAGCTTTCAGGGGTCTAGTAGAGTCGTTGGAAATTTGTTTTTATATTTCAACAGGTCAGGGCTGCTCTGGCACCAGGAGGACCAAGATGCTCTTAGGCCAATGGTCATAATGTTGGAATGATCTGTGTTTTTGTTTTGAAGAAAATTGTTCATGACTCATATTGTTGTTTTTTTTCCAGCTCAGAGAATAAAGTAAATATTTGTCACAAAATGATTCGGAAAAAAAGATTGCAAATATTTCTGAGGACATAACTATTCTGATAATTTTTTTCTTTCATTTCTTAGTTGTGTGAAGATTTTTTTCATTAATTTGCTCTTGCTGCTAATTTTTAAAAAGTCTGAGTGACTTATAAAACGTTTTCACCCTCAGTTCCTTTTGTCTACTTCAACCCAGTGGAAGATCTGTGTTACCTGGATTGTTGGTTTCGGTGCTCACCAGGTATTAAGCTGTTCCTCATTTTGCCTCCACTGATGAAAGATTAACATGTGCATCTCGACAAGCACAAATATCATTGAAAAGTACATTTATTTCAGTGATAAAAAAAAAAATGTAAAAGATTCTGTTGAATAGAATCAGACACACATTGAAGTATAACTTTCTGGGCAATTATGCCTTGTAGCTAATTAAAACTGAAAATGAAGTTTTTAGGGTACAATATACAGTACAATAATATTCAAAATGATTTCTGTTTGACAAATAAAACATGGCAAAGATCAACTAAGCAGGCCTTGTGAACACTGCTGACTTGACAGTCTTCTGGCATAAAGTCACTACAACTCTCAGCAAGGAGGTTAAGTTCATTTCTAAGAGAACTGTCTGTTCATAGTGTCCAATCAAAGCATAATAGGGGAAAGTTCAGTCAAAGAAAAGGTTTGAAAGCAGTAGGGAAGACGACGGCTTTCAGATGATTATGAGAAAAAAGTATCCAAATTATATTTAAATTCAATATTCTTTCCATATCATGCTGCGCCGATGCAGTTACTCATGCAAACAATGAAAGTCAAAGCATTAACTGACATACTTGCAAAAAGCTGACATATATATTTGTTTTGCCATTTCTGAGAGTATTAATTGCTACAATTCATAATTATTAAACATTAAAAGAAATTAAGTCCTGAAAAATGCCCCTCTGTATGTATCACATCTATATAATCTACCAGTTTAGTTTTCTGTAACTATATCACTGAAATAAATGTACTTTTGAGTAATATTCTTATTTATTGAGATGCACATTTAAAAGCTCCTGTTTGTGACCTGAATGTATTTTATCAGCCACTCTATAATCCTTCTGGTTGTACAAATATGGTTGTTACCTGTCACAACAACTGTATTTTGGCAGCTGCCTCTGTATTTAGGCATGCTTGTTCTATCTTTACAGAGAGTGCTTCAAGTGGCCTTGCAAAGACTCTGTTCCATAAGTTGCCAAACATTTTAGATCAGTCTCTTTTAGGGCAGTGCTTCTGAAATTTTGGAAGCAAAAAAAGCACACAGAATAAAAGTTGGGTACAAGAAAAAAAAAATGATTTAAAGTATTCAAAAGCTCTTAACAGCACATCATAAGCTGTCTAGAAACATTTCTGTTCTTAGATGCTTATGAGAACTCTGTTGGGTGTGTCTGACAGATCTAAAAACGTCTTTGCCTACCGTTTACGGTACCTAAACTATTTGTGTTACTATTGTGTGTACATGGAGAACTGGACAAAATGCAAATAAATTGTAAAATCATGTGGAAATCAAAAAAGCCCAGTGTTTCTTACTTTATCCCCCTGTGCTGTTCAAAATGAGAGGCATGTTTATAAGAGAGAAGCTGAAAATCTGCAAAGATCTTCCATGGCTCCTTGGCTTTCCAGTCCTGATGTATTGTAATTACTGCAGGCTCCTAGGAAAAGCCCAGAACAGATAAGCAGTTGATAAGATTCATTTTGCCCTCAAGCCAGATTTCCAGTCCGATAGTCCCAAGATAATCCGGAGCTGCGAGCGATCCAGAGTTTAAATCTTTGTCTCATCTAATTCATTTATCTAATCCTGTCACTTTTGTTTAAGACAAGGCTGATTTAAAATGCTTGTGTCACGGCCATCTGATCCATGGTAAAGATGGGGGCCAATCTTGTCATGTCCAATTTATCTCATTTGTGCATCTTTCAAGATGCATTTGCAGGTTTTAGTGAAGATTTATGAGCGGCATGACAGTTGGAGTGTTTCGTTTTAATTTATTAAATTTGTTCATATAAGGAACCAGGAACACTCCAATAAATTGTGGTTTGGGGAAGTTTGTCAGAGCAGGCACAGAGCAAAATTAAAACATTTTCTGGTCACTTTATAAAATGAATGGTCTTTTTCTTAACTAGAAATGGAAAATGTTCTTGTCTGCATCATTTTGGATGAAACTATGAATTCATAAAGGTGTGCTTAAAATTCTGCATAAGTATTAATATGTACTTCTAAAACAATATATAATGTAACTCAGTGTGTGTCTTATTCAGATAAAAGACAAGAAAAAAAGCACAACAGGACGCAGATGCTTAATTAGAGGTGCCCATTGTCCTTCACAAAATATTCCAATCTCAGCCGGGATTCATGTGAATTTTCATGTCCAAAGATCCTCATTTTCTAAGCTTTACCTTTCGACTACGCCAATGGAGTATGTGAACAAAAAGATTGTGCTTTTATATAAACTGCTGTATTGTAGTTCTAGTTTCTATTGAAAGATGAACCATCACCCTTCTATTAAATTCTTCTGTAGCCTCAAACATGTTTTCTTTAAGTATTGCACAAAAAAGACCAGAAAAGGATCCCTACAGCAATATGCTGCCACTACCATGCCTGACCATAGAATTAATAATCTGCATAGAGTAACAGCAATCACACTGTTCTTAATGCAGGTCAAAACTTAATTTATGTTTCATCTAATTTTAACAGCTTCTCTTTCAGGAATGAGGGGAACTACAAGCAGTACATCTAGTGGTTTCTTTTTACCCATAAATATATTTTTTCATTAAGCCAAATTGGTGGTTAACACAATTGATTGTTGTTACTGATCACAAGATTTGCACTGCAAATTATTTACTGGTGGCAGAGTGCAGGTAGCTGACAGGAATTACTTTTTGGGTTTCTTCTACTTCAATAATCAATGCAAATACTGTATTTTTTTTTCTTTTTCTTTTTAGAAAAAGCCATTTGGAATCTCCAAATGATATCTACCAACTTCCATCTAGAAATCTATCATTATTTTATAAACTCATGAATAACGAAGAAGTGAAAAATGAGTGAACTTCCGAGCCTTTTACAGAAAAAGTCCGGTCATATTCAGAATTCAAACTTCTGAAAGTACTTTAAATATAAAATTATTACATACTGTTGAATAAATAATAAGTATTTTTAATTAAGAGCAAATTTCATTTGAATGTGCCTTACTGGAGCTCTATGTTGGTCAAAGAACACTACTGCCACCTACAGGTTTGTGACGTCACAGTGCGGTATCGGCTGTTGAGCAAGTCCCCATGCTGTATCTGGTGTTTATCACAATGCGCTATTAACCAAGGCATCTAGAAAACATTCTTCTCTGAAATGGTGGCTGCATATTAGGTGTTTTTTCTCTGGCCAGAATTCTATGGCAAATCCTCCCTCTTCAAGTTGGCAATCCAACGACGAACCCGTACTTGGAGGATCATGAATCGCAAAGGTGAAACAGCATATTTTTTTTTCACTTTTACCTGATGTATTACAACATCCAACTGCCATGCACCTAGGCATTGTCAGTTTAACTAAAGCTCTTGTGAATTTCAATGGTGAAGTTCTCTCAAAATCTTTAATAATTGTTGCTGATTGCAGATGTGTCTAGTAGCTCCCACTAGGCTTACCGCACCGTGACGTCACT